CAAGAGCTGAGATTACAGGCGCGTGTCACCAGGCTTAGTCTCAATTGCCATCTCAGCATGCCCTGGGGGCAGAGCCAGCATGGCAGGCCTGGGAATTGAACCCCTGGCCCCTATGCCTGCTTACAGATGCTTTAATCTGCTGAGCTATTTGGATGGCCCTTATGTTGGCTCTTTTATGTGTGCTTTCTTCTATCAACTTCAGAGATCCATCTGTATTGTTCTGCCAGTTTTAATCATTTGGTCTTATTAGGATTTCATATATGAATACATTAAAATGTATCATTCCTGTGTTGATGAACATTTAGGTAGCTTCTAAGTTAGGGCTATTACAAAGAGTATTCCTATGAACATTATAGAACTTCTGGTGAGTATCTTCATTCCCATAGGGAGGCCATTTGCCAAAAGGTGAAATTCTTGAGTCAACACAGATACATATGTTCAACCTTGCAGATGGAATGAAACAGCTTCCCAAACAGATCGAATGATGTCAATTTCCACTGTCAGTGTGTGAGGGCTCCTGCTGCCCCACATTCTCATAAACACCTGTTTCTTTCAGCCACCTAATTGACTATACACAGGTCATTTCTCCCAGTAGACCTCAGAACTTCTTGCCTGTGAAGCAAGGCTACAGGACCCAGCTAGTATATGCTTAAATCTGTCCCCACATGCTAATAGCATCTCCTTATACCACTCAAAGGTTTAGTCCTTTGAAATAAAGCCCCAGAATGAAAACCTAGGCAGATATAATAGTATTTGTGGTGTCTGGACACAGTTAGCTTGGACATAGCTATGGGGTAGCTCTGGTATTAGCAAAATGAAACAAAAATATTTTTTGTTGGTCATGCTGTGGCAATAAGACAAGCTAAATCTGGGTTTTGTTTGCTTGAAATATTAAAGTTATCTTAACACTACAATCTCTTAAAATCATTTAAAATGAATATAGTTTCCAATATTCACTTAAAGGTACTAAGGTCTATAAATACAAACTCTTGACTTTTAATATTGGCTATGAGTTACATCTGGAAATTAACTTACACAACGCCCTAAGAATGTGGAATTAAGACAAGTTAATATAATGTTCACAGATATAATAAGTATTCATTGAAGAGTATAATTTTTAAATAGTCTTTACACAATAATATAACACACTACTAAGAATTTTGTTGACTAATTTTTAATTTCCACAGAAAGAGTGACTTGTGTCAGGTGTTTGAAACAAAAATACCTTTGAGTTGGTAAAACAGCAAGCAGAAAAATCTAAGACATGCTTTCATGTGGTAGATAATAGGATCAGATACCTTTGAGTTCTTAGAAGTGAGATGTGCAAATGGCAGAAGCAGAGACAGAACAGTGAGGTGCTGAGGGCTACACAGATTTTTTCAGAATGATTCACAGCTCCAATAAAGCTAGAGCTACCTTCTAGCTACAATAAGTTTTCTTGCTTGGATATTTTCACCAGGAGACTTCAAATGAAGAAGAAAACAATGAGGATTCTAATGGGAACGAAGATGAAGAATCTGAAGCTGAGAATACCACGCTTTCTACTGCGACACCTGGCTATGGAGAAGAGGTCACTGCTGGAACAGAGTACATAGGGTTAGCTGCAATCCAGCTTCCAAAGAAGGTAATAATGCCCCGCAAAGGTTAAGCCAGTTTTTTTTTTTTTCTTCATGGAAGTTCCAGGTTATCCCAACACTGTATACATAGTATTTGATAATGGTATTTGATACTGTCTCCATTAACTCATTGAAAATGCAAGAACAGGCATCATTTCCTTATTTGCAAATAAGGAAAGATCTACCAGCAGTTCTCTTCCCTTGACCTTGCATTGACTCTTTACATTTTAATAGAAGACCAAGGATGGGCAATGAATAGCAAAGTTGCAGCAAGTGGCTTCACCCAAGAAAGTTTCTCAGGCATATCTCCCCAAGGTGTCAGAGCACTCACCAGCCCTAGAGTAAGTTAGAGCGGCCAGCATTCAGTGATAACAGGAATAAGGCTGTCAAGCACGGAGTACTGTGCTGGGTACAGCAATGGCCTGAAGTTGAAACTGTTTTATGCTTAAATTTAGATTCCCTCAAATCTTTCTTTCCAGGCTGGGGATATAGGAACAAAACCTGCTAAGAAAGAGGAAAGTGATGAAGAGGAGGAGGAAGAAGAGAATGAAAATGAGGAAAATGAAGCAGAAGTGGATGAAAATGAACAAGCTGTGAATGGCACCAGCACCAACAGCACAGAGGTGGAGAATGGTAATGGCAGCAGTGGTGCAGACAATGGAGAAGAAGGGGGTGAAGAAAGTGACACAGCAGCCACCACAGCAGGAACTACTTTAACGGTAGTGCCAAGCACTGACATCTCAAAGACAATAGCCTCTCTAGGTGTTGGGTTTGAACCCACAACCCCACCTCCCAAGGTCGATGGTACTACACCCTATGGGAAGACTACCACAGCTGAGTATGGGGGTGAGTACGAGCAAACAGCTGGTGCTGAATACGACGCTGGGTATGAAGTCTATGACAATGAGAATGGGGGGCCTCGTGGCGACAATTACCGACCCTATGAAGATGAATACAGCTACTACAAAGGGCGTGGCTATGATGGCTATGATGGTCAAGATTACTACTACCATCAGTGAAGACCAGCCTAGGGTGGAGTCACCATGCCAGCTTGCATCTGGCTGCCAGTTTCCAAGTTCAACTCAGGAAGGTGCAATATATGCAGTGTGCATGTGATGGCAGGAATGGTAGTGCTGCTCCTAAGTGAGTTTCTGTAATTGCTTCTGTCGCTAATGGGCCCTTGTTGCTTTTCTCTGCTCTTTCTAGAAGGCTGTTGTAAATCAGGAACATTTATCAAGCAGTACACAACTCAACAGATGGAATTGGGTTGAACTTTTTTGAGATTGTAGCTCTATATATAGCATTTGTAACATGTTCACTGTATTGCTAACTGCCTAAATGTGCTCTTCATACACAAATGCTTCTGAGAAGAGATCCATTGATGTTATAATGCTGTATACAATAAGTGTGTAACTGCTAATCACACCACCTATCTAACAATGTATATTAGAATGAATAATCATGTGCATGTATTTTTATGTGATCTATATGTATATTCTACCTGAGATTTTATCACAAATAAACAGCAATTCTTCAAATGTGTTATAATTAAGAAGAAAAGTCAGAGAGTACTTCCACTGCAAAACATAGGAGAACTCTAAACACCTTCTTTTGGCAACATTATGCTGATAGGCAGGGTCGGCTCTATACCTTAGGGAAATGAAGAACTTTTTTTGGACTTGTCATATTTAACAAATATAAATACAGGAGGCCTGGTTGGACTTGAATTTAAGATAAATAATTTAAGAATTTTAGTACAAGTATATCCATGAAAATTTGGCCTCTGTGAAATATTTGGGACATGCCCTTACTAAATAAGTGATTCACTATTTAAGATTCAAATTTAGCTAGGTGTCCTGTGTTTTTCTTGGCAATCTGACCCATTCCAATTTGATTTTAGATGTGGTAGGAGGTAGGATTGAGTAGTTAAACACACACACACACACACACAAACACACACACACGCACGCACGTACGCACACACACACATGCACACACACAGATATAAAAAACCTTAATAACAACTTATACTTCTTATATTCTTTTTGTTTGCACATGTGTGTGCCTCTGGCATTGTTTATTTTATTTTAATACACTGTGCCCTTCAAGTTTCCTTTTAAATCTACCACAAATAACAGGTTTTAGCACATCAGGTGATATTTTGCTTCCTGAACATTAAATTAATTTTCTATTACCAATGCAAATGTGTACTTTCCAATTTACCCACTGCACAATAAAACCTAATTTAAAGCAATTAATGTTCATTAATGGCCCCATCTGCATGTTTATCACTTTATCCTTAAATACTTGAGATATGGTATCCATATTTTATAGCTCATTTCTTATCAGCAAGAATTCTAATCCTCAAGGGTAAATGTAAGACTAATGTGCCAGCATCTCATATACTTTGCATTTTGCAAAAAAATACATTACTTCTTACAAAAAAAGAAAACAACTTGGAAATGTATAATATGTTAATAGATATACTAAAAGTGTATACTTATTGCAAAAGAGGTTCATTCTTCTCTTTCTGTAGCCTTCCTCTTTTCCCAAAACTGGTGTGGCAGAGCAATGAATGTGATATGGGAAATTCTTCAGCTTTCTAGAAATATTTTGCTAGGCATACTAGGACACAGTGCAGCACTAGTAATCCTCGAAGGTTTCCTCCCAGGTCCCCTGCAGAAGGCCACTGCCTTGCAGGGAACTGACAAGTGAGCTGGCAAGTGTTCCTATGTAGCAAAGCATTTTGAGCAAGCAATTTAACATCAGGCAGAAGTTGTTTTGTCAATTCTTCAGGTATCAATTGTGTGCATTTGCAAATACTATTGGAACATTTTGAGCTCAAACATCAGGTTTTTACCCTCCATTTGGTTTATCTAATCACCGAATAAAGTGATATGCTAAAATATAAAAGCATTTGTATGGAAGAGAGGAGGCAATGTCAACCCAAAGTTCAGGGTTTCAAATCCTGGTGCCTCCCACCAGTGTACTAGCTGTAGAAACCTAAGAGGGCAGCTTACCCACAATCCGGAATCTTGATGCTTAAGGTCAGCCCAAAAGGGTTCCCCAGGAGCCTGCCTTCTAAACTTTAAATCATTGAGTTCTGTCAAATCATTGAGCTCTATTGTTTGTTCCTGATTCTCACTATCAGTCTAGCTAAAGGTAGCCAGTAAGACCCAGGCCACAACCTGAATGGTGTGTGTTTTGAAATTCTTCTGCCAGATTAATTAGTCCATAGCCCTTAAATTTAGTCTCCTGTAAAGTGTCAGAGCATGGATAAAAATGTAGACAGATTTTCTATCAGAGTGTAAAACACATAGCCTCCAGTCTGCCTTCCAATTAGGCTTTGTTTCCAAAGGCTAGTCCTTGACCTGACTTTTTTGTTTTCATTTCTATCAGCATTTTGGTCTTCTGAGCTCTGACCGGCATCACACACTGATAGTATCACACTTGCAGCAGTTCATAACATCCTCGGGCTCATCTAGCTTGCTTTTCTAAGCTTTTCTGAATTCCTCCACTACTTCTTATATTTTAATCATAACCATGAAGGCAAATTTCAAATTGAAATAGTGAAGAAAAGTAGGTAGTTGAAAGAAATAAAGTGAGAAAAATTTTATTCCTTTTACTTTATTCATTGTAAGCTGGATGAACACCTAAGATAAAACTAGACAATGTTCAGTTATTGCACCTATGAAAATGAAAAGCTTGTTCCTTAAAGCGATGTCAGTTTTATAGCTAAGAGTTGTCAGGTGCCACATGCATCAACTTTTTGTTATAAATTTCTTTTTCATTTTAAAGAGATTAAAAATTTAAAAACATTAAAAATGATACAGAATTTCAAAGCAAGATGATAGGAAATCAACAATGATTGTTATGTTGTATACTGCTATCTTCAAAGTAGTTGTTCAAATTATTTGATACAAGCCTGTAAAATTGGGCAAAAAATTATGCATTAACTGTTCCTTTCAATAAATCAATAGAAATTAGTAGTACAATTATATTAGTTATCTTGCTTTCCTTCTTTCTTTCTTTTCTTCTTTCCATCATCCAAATTGTTCTTTACTTATGAGCAACTTCCCTCTCACAATATCTATTGTACCTTTCAGATTCTATTTGCTCGCTTAGTTCCTTGCACTAGGAAGATAATATGGTGTTTACACATGCAGGTCTGATTTATTTCACTTGTAAGTATGGTCCCTAGTTGCATCCATTTACCTAAAGAGGCCTTGAGTTTGTCTTCCTTTATAGCTGAGTAGTACTCCATGAAAAATATCCAGGCTTTGGAAAGTTGGAAGACTAGTGAATAAGCACCCTTATTACCCTTTTCACCTGCACTCACCAAAGGCCAGTGTTTTGCCACATCTGTTCCCTCTGTGTGAGTGTATTTATGCATGTATGTGTGCATGTACTTTGCCAGACTATTGAGGAGGAGACTGCAGACATACGAGGCTTCAGCCCCAAATACTACAGCATTCAGTGTAAACAGAGTTCTCCTGCTTGCCACAATACCATTGACGTCTTCATTCTCTAGAAGTTTAACATAGGTATGATAATTGATATATACATTGTATATTCAAATTTTCTCCATCATCACAACAAATCCTTTCTCATCTAATTCCACAAAACTCTGTCAAGTAGGTATCGTCATCCTCATTGTATTAATGAAATTGCTATATCAAGCAGAAACACCAAAATGACAGCCAGACTTTGGAGGCAGACATATTTTACATTGAAGGGCACTGATTAGGATCATTCCCAAAATATGAGGCTCCAGCCTCCAGTGGTCTAGGGCTTTTATATGATGCATAAGCAGGGGCTATAAAGGCAAGACAGAACAGCTTGGCAGTTTCTTGATTCACTAGCAGGGTGAGATCATCGGTTACAAGGGTAGATGAATGATTATCAAGCTTGTTACAATCAGACACCCTGAAAGTTCAGCTATGCTCTTGTGGTTACAGGGGTCAAGAAAGCAATCACTGAGCCTCAAAGCCGTGGCAGAGCTAGGCAGTTTCAAAAACAGCACAATTTTTAAAGAACACTTTTTCTTGGACAGTTTTTCCCTTTCAAAATGACTGAGGCACAAGGAGATGACAAGCAGCCACACTGGAGATGAGATGAAGGCCGCTTGGCCCAGGTGGCTGTTCATTAGCAGGTATTAGTCCCTTGTCTGCCTATTCATCAGTAAGGGATGGTCAGGCAGTCTCTAAGGATGGAAATCTTGCTGGAAATTAGCCTTACCCTGCATCCACAATTTCCTTTGGGTACATCATATGTTATGACTTAAATCCGAAGCAATATTTTCAAACCTAGGATTTTCTCATGTTTTGGGGGCATATCTTTCTGTAAAGCCAGGCTGGTCTTGTGCAAAATGCACAAATTCCATAGTCAGAAGTGCTTGAACAGTGGCTTTAGTGAGAGTGGCTCATCTTGGCTAGCTTTGATCCCTTACCTCCTAGTAGGCTAGCATTGCTGTTAAGAGTCTAGCACGTCTGGAGGAACTGACATCTCTGCTTTCTTCTGCTCTCCTTTTCCTTCCCTCTGTCACTTAGGTGGATAGTAACGGAATTATCCAGTTATAAAAATCATTTGTAAAATAATAGCACACTTTGTTTTTACTCCAATGCATCTTTTTAGAGTGAAATGTTTTTTTTTTTTTTTTTTTTTTGAGGTTAAGATCAGCGTGATTAACACTCTCATATTGCAAGGATCACATGCGCAAGCTATCTTATCATGGCAGGCTATCTCAGTGTGTCACAGGGTCATCAAGTCGCAAATTCTACAAGGTCTTTAAAATCTGTGGAGTATATTTACACTATTAATATTCAGGAGTTATTCGTTTTTATACAGTGAAAGATACTAATCGTTGCCTTTCTGGTTCCTTTCTTAGCTTTTGGCTCATGGAGTGTGAGTTCCCAACTCTTCACGAGCCTATCTGAGGGATTTGAGCAAGCTCATTTTTGTTTTCTTTCTTTTCTTTTCTTCTTCTTTTCTTTAAAAAATGTATTTGTTTGTTACAGTGTCTCACTATGCAGCTCAGACTTGTGGCAATTCTCCTACTTTCAGCCTCCCC